AAGAGTGGATTCAGCAGTGGCTTGCAGACCCTACACAAACCCCAAACAACACAATGAAAAGCAATACCCAGTTGTGCCCACTGCTGCCATTCATAGTGCAGGGGGGTGTCATCCACCCACCAGGGCCTCTCCCCGATCCCAGGACTCTCCAATGCCCAGCTAGTAACATTTTGTGGTGCATGCAGAAGAGGTTAGGCTGCTTGGCCAGAATGGGACGCTCCCAAGGGGAACACAAAAGATGCTGCTGCAGTGACTCTGTCTACTCAGGTCAGTCCACGCCCCATCCTGTTCTCTGGTTGCAGATCCTCGACATTCACCTGCCCACAGGGAACAGTTAGTATCTCCATGAAGGGCCGGATGCCCACAGTCTGATGATACCGAACCAGTTCAGTGAGCGAGGTGTGAGCCCGGTCTTCCCCCAGGATGACATAGCGTGCATTGGGCTGCATCTGGATCATGTAGTGTCTGCAGCGGCCTTCGCCCCTGGGGAGATGGACAGACAGAAATAGTCATAGCAGGGGGCCGCAATGTCTCTCCAGGACCCAATCATTACTTTCTGCACTTCTTGTCTCAAGAGGCCAGATGGGATCAGGAGACACAGTAACAAATACCACAAAGATGCAGGAGATGCACTGTGCTGGAGTGTCACACACTGTGCTGGAGTGTCACACACTGTGCTGGAGTGTCACACACTGTGCTAGTAGGTGCTGGTGCTGGAGGAGCAGCAATTTCCCCAAAGCCAGTGACAGGAGAACCCCAGAAGCTGGATCCAAACCTCAGCAGACTGTACCACCTCCCATGCCTTGTTGTTCACATTAAACTCTTCCCTACCCCTTGCCTGAGGCTGTACAAAGGCCATGTCCTTGTAGCACTGATTGCCTCTCTTCAGGCCCTCTTCTAGACTCATCTCTGCTCCCGTCAATGCTTCTTCCAACCTGGTTTGCCCACTCAGCCATACAGCACAGCCCAAGCAGGACCTGCACCCTTGGAGCCACAGCACATCACCCACAAACAGGGCTGGTTCTTGGCAACAGACTGACTCTGCAGTGTCCACTCTGCTACTCCAAACTATCTGAGGCACCCACAACAGGAGAGGCTGAGCGTCATGTTCTCTGGACTCCTCTGTGGAGACAGTTAGCTCCTCCGTCAATACATAGCTCAGTTTAGGACCTTCTTTTTCATTTTCTGCAAGACTTATTTCCTACCTGTAAGTCAAGGTGTAGCCCGGTCTGCTCTGGCTGATCCGAACAAGGAAGCAACCCAAAGGCTTGTCAGTCAGCAAGTTCTCAGCTTCCCTGGAAGCAGGAAGGAGTTTTTCAGCAGACAGTGAGCAGCTGCTACCATAGTAGTGCTCCCAGTCCACAGGGAGGCCAGCATCTGCCCCGTGTATTCCTAGCTAGAGGTTTCCAGACTCAGGCTTGCTGGTGCAAGGAGGCATAAGCAGGCTGAGGAGGCAGAATATTCTCAGCCAAAGCCTCTCCAAGCAGGCCTCCTCCAAACCTCCTCCAGTAGTCTGACTAGTGCAACAGCAACAGCTACCTTGCAGCACAGAACACATTACAAAGCACTGCTGAGATAAGGAAGCTGTGCACATATGCATTTCCTACACTCGAGGGCTGTCAGAAGAAGTCAAGATGTTGTGGGGTAGAGGTGCTCAGCACAAGTGCCTTGTGGCAAGCCCAGTGCCTTGGAGAAACACCAACTTGGATTACACCAGTCTGGGTATCTAAACTTCCTGCTGGAAGGAGGTCTTCCCCCTCTCTGCCCAACAGACAAAGCAGTTCTTTGTGCTCGTCATGTGGCCTGCTCCAGGCTAAAGGTGACTGCAAATCACTAGTGCAGATTGGGATTGCTCTGGCTGCTCGGTTTCATGACGCTGAGTTTACACTGCTGTATGGAGACTTAAATCCTGCAACAGGAAGTGCCACTTCGAAAGTATCTGATTTTCAGTGCCTTTGGGAAAGATCTGTGTGTCCTTCATTGTGAAGTGCTCATGGCTAGCTTATATTTGAATTCAGACAGTTTTGTATTCCAGGTGCTAGTTCCTCTCCTGCATTCTTGGATCTGTAGACAAAAGCATTAATACAGGTGGGGCCTTGTTAATTATCTTTAAAAAAAACCGCAGCTACCAGGGAGTTGTCAGCTACTGTAGTGTCCCTTACTAAGCTAACGTGCTATATAATGTCTCTGAGTAATGTTCACACTGATAAGCTGACAAAATCCAGGAACTTGTGATATAATAAGACTGAAGGAGAATTGCAGCTTTAATAGTAAAACGTTATAAACTGGAACAAGATGATAAGGGTGGTCAAATGAGGCATGCTTTGGCAGCAATGCCTACAAGCAAGCCCCACCAAATAAGGGACACTGGCAGTTAGCAGGCATGCAGCACCACAGATTAATTTGCACATGGGGAGACTATAGCCATAAATTCTGATGTCTACCTGCTAATTCCACTGTCTTGCTCCTATCTGATCACTGGCATAATTGTCATTTCTCTGATTATCACACTGCTTGGAAAGTAGTGCTTGGTTCAGCCAAGAGAGTGAAGTGCAAGGCATACTCAGTAGGAAAATTTCAAGCATTTAAATAAAGGTTTTCCCAAAAAATTTTGAGAGCTCACAGTCCATAAGACAACTCCATAAGAAGGCAGGGCTTTGTGGATATCTCTCTCAGCCTAAAGGGATGTAAATTCCACCTATGCTGCACGCTCCTTAGATGGGCAGAGGTATCAACCAAAAGCCTTCCTTTTCCCATCTCTGGGAGCTTTGGGGTAATCTTGCTATTGGGTACTCACTAAAGCCCCTCTTAATACTTTAAAAAAATAAATACACACTGAATTCTCTATTCTCTTACTGTAAACTGAGGTCTCCTCCTGACCTAAACTGAGACATGATAACAGTCATGAGTCAGACCAAAAGTCCACATTCATTCCATATCACGTCTCTGCAAACAGTCCACAACAGGGTAAATGCATGCATGTATTTCCTCTCCAAGTACTTTCCAAGCCTCCTTTCCCTGTACAGGATCTGTATTTAGGAACCCACAGTGGATTTATTTCCTATG